ATGTTTGCACGCTGTGCAAGTATGTCCGAGAAGATATTGATGAGTACTTTCAAACATTGTAGCCAAAACTTTAAATAAGTCTTCTTTTTAAATAAGTCTCTATGTACTATAATTAAAATAAATTATATATTAATGTATTATAATTATAATATTACATAATATATAATTGTAATAATTATATAATTTATCTATATAGTGACTTTCGATATTTAAAGAAAATTTTAAATAGAGGAAAAAAAATATAATATTATATCAAAAAATATATATTTTGCAGTAAGATATTAGAGGCAAATCCTTTCTATCGATCGTACAGTCTACATAATTTCACGTGTTATAAAACGTTCACTGTTTTATAGTGGCTTTGCAATTTATGATACGGAGAATGAAAATAATGAGGACAATTTGTTGGCTATTTTCTTGCACCAATGACAAAAGTTTAGAACGTTATAATTACACTTGCGTACCTAATTATTATAATATTTGTACAACGCACATAATATGTGTCGCTGCTTGGACAAATAATAGTCGCTCGATTAAAAAATGTTTTATGTAATATAATATAAAAAATAAAACAATCTATATTATTGCAGAAAATTAAAAAAAAACATGACAAAATGTCAAATAGAATGAATTGGCGAATTTACTCAATAGATTTTAGGATTCTAAGAATCATGCCGTAAAAATAATCTAATTTTAACGAATCACTTAAAGCTACATCAAATTTCATCATAAATTCCAAAATCAAACTATTTTCGAATATTTTTTATAAAAAATAAATACTGAAGTTTTATATTTTATAATATTAATGTAACTACGTTAAAATGAATTTCGTACATTAATATTATAAAATATAAAATTTTATTTTTTCTAAGATAAGCATTAAATATTTATAAATATTGAGTATGTGAAATTAGCATTCCAACTATAATACTCAGGAGTTCTGATTAGAGTTTCCATTTCCTTTTGACAAGACGAAGAGTTCTATATAATTTATAACAAGAGTTCTGCTTAATAATTATTTTTAAATAATTAAAAAATGGGGTGCTAACTTCTCATCAAAAATCGAGATCGAATAGTTCTGAGCGGCTCAATAGTTTTATTTCGTGAATACCTAGAATGTCTGATACATAAAAAAAAATTTTGAAAAATAAAAAAAAAATTAAAAATTGAAAAATCAATTTTTAGATACAATAGTTTTGATTAGAGTGCTTCCTTTTCACGAGACGAAAAGTTCTCTCTGCATTTTTTAATACGATTTATTTAATAACAATTTTTAAATAATTTTTAAAAAATGGGATGCTAACTTCTCATTCGAGATCGAATAGTTCTGAACAGTTTCTATTTTGTAAATATCTAGAGTTCCTGATACATAAAAAACAATTTTGACACATAAGAAAATTTATAAAATTTTTTCAAAAAAAATTTTTTTATAAAATAGTTCTGTGACACCTTAATTGTCATCATTATAACAATTTCGAAGAGTTCTCAGCAATTAAAACCAACACAGGCTCAAAAATAAAAGAGATATATACTTCAAACGAAATTTGAAAAATCGGTTGCAGAAGTACGTATTTCCTTATATAGTCCAATCGCTTTGTTATCTAATACTTTTCAACAGAAAATCTCGTCGAGAACTAGAATTCTAATCAGAGCTACTAGAACTTTTAAAAAATTTTTCGAAACGTCGGAATTAGAAAATTTTCAATTTTATAGTTAGGACGCTAACTTCACATATCCATAAATATTATAAAAATATTTTTCAAATCTATAAGGAAAACGCCACTTCCATTATAGATTTGATTTCTTTTTTTAAAATAGCAAAAAATAATAAATAACGACTTGGCAATTTTTATATAAAAAAGTAGTCGGAATCATATCGAAAAATTCTCATGAAACGTATGTAACAGATAAAATTGATCTTGTCTCTTAAATCTTTCCGGTATATCAGAGACAAGAGACAAGTACGTTTTTAAGGGTATCACGAAGAGAGACAATGGTGAGTATCCGATAGCAACAGACGCGAGACGGATAATAATGTGTATGCTGCTTTAATAACGACGAGAAGCAAGCAAGCCAGTTATTCTTGGCTGGTTTATACATGCCGTCAACACGATAAATTTTGCTTACGGTAACGCCTTACATAGTGTCGACTAAAAGGACTCTCAGAATATTCAGGATACTTCAGAGTGTTCTCTATCTAAGTACCATGATTTTACTCGATAAACCAAGCTCTTTGCCTTAATTTAATGTAGGTAGCGCTATGTTCCTTACAAACGTTTTCGTTTAGGTATTTATGTGAAAGATACGCATCAGTTAAAAATTTGTATTAAAAATATACTTTACATATACCAAATGGTTTACTTTTTTGTGTTAATTCAATATAAGATAAGTATGTTAAATAGTAAATATTATATTAAAAAATTAACATAAAAAAATCTAACTGATACAATTTATAAGCAAACTATGAAAACACACTTTTTCTGTAAAATTAATATTTATGTTCAATTAATGTTTTTATTATTTATTTTATCTTAAAATTTATGTTTTAAAAAATTTGAAATGAAATATATTATTTTTATGTTATTTGTTATTATAAATTTTGTGATTTTGATACTAAAAAATGTTGAATATCAAACACAAAATCAACACAAAATATTCAAATAACATAGTCACATTATGTTAAATTAATACTCTGGACATGCGAATATGTTAAAAATTTAACATAAAGTTTTAATAAGAGCTTGAGTAGATCGATTTTAACACAAATACAAAATGTTCTTTACTATATATAATTAATTAATTGTACTTGTCACTTTGGAAACAATCATATTTCGATGTAAGTATTAATATTATGCGAAAAAAAGTTTAGTAAAAGTATACTACAATTGCAGTATTCTCAAAACTAAAAAACTAAATTAATATTTTTAATCTATGTCTGAGAAACGAGTCATGTACCGTTTAAACATTTTGCAGTTTGCGTGGAACTGTGTGAAAACTGAGCGAGCTTTTAGAAATAAATCATTTTTGACATGTAGGAAACCGTGAGATTAACGAACGTGAGATGTTTTTTAACTTCAGTGAAATTTCTTACGGAGACGCACGTAGTAATGCAGCGTCGTTTCATTAAACCGGAGAATTTTCTGCGCCGTAAGTTTTAGTTCAAATTGCTATTTCTTGCGCTGACGTAGATTACGGAGATGCAAATAAAATAATATGGCATTACATGGTTTAATATAAGTAAAACGTATATAAAAAATTTATTAAGAATGCAAAATATGCACTTATAATACTTACCCTTTTTCGATGCATGGAAGGAATCATCTTTTGGCACGTACTGAATATCGTATTCCAACGTGGTCTTCGGCAATATAATTTTGTCCTTGTTGATCTTGTAAACGGCATACTTGAAGGCCAGCTCCGTGCTGCTATCCTTTTGGTCATGAGTGAATATAGCACCTGGAAAGTAAGCAGGACTGTGATCGCTTTAATCCTTAAAGTGGAACACTATTCCGTTCCATAGTGATAATACTCTCAAACGATCAAAGTTCGTCCATCTATGCTAATAAACTATAAGCTTCGAGCAAGACTGAATCTCATATAACAGAGATTATGCACAGTTTTAATACTATAAGCGGTTATTCGGGATATATTGAATAATTTCTCTAATGCCATCTATATCTTATTGTATATATTAATGTACAAATTGTGTTAGTCGATCTTGACAAAATCTAAGGTAATATCTATCTTCTCAAATTCAATTAAAACGTTAAATGTTAACTACTAATCCAATGTTAATTCAATATCAATTACTTGTAACAATTGTAATTAATGATAGGAAAAATTTGTTGTAGAAATATTATTAATTAAATACTTCCTAATTTTATAATTCTACAATCTTACAATCACGTATTGTTAATTCTTATAAAACAATTTGATCTGATTCGCTAAGTTCAACATATAATTAATTAACCATTAATTAATATTGCAAGATCAAATAATTCATGGAACGCCTATTATATCAAGCATATCATATACATATACATGTATAATATGTATATATACATGTATAATATGTACATAACATGCTATGTATCTTTAATATTCGTTAGATAATGTAACATACATTGCATGTATACATTGTGTTCAAGTATCAATAATATAATTATGATTCTGGAATTAATATAATATAATTATGATTCTGGAATATTTGTTGAGACAAAGTA